GAACCCAAAAGGCAGAAGAGCATACAGAGTAGCAAAGTGCCGAACTCATTCAGCCTCAGAAAATCAAAAACATTCAGATATCCAAAATTTGGGACCAGGACAGAAATATGATGGACGTTCATCTGGCTTCTACTACTTACACCAAAACATTTAATCTTAATGAATTCTACTCGAAGCAAGAGAGCAGACAAAACCAGCTAGCTATTACTAGCTTGAGGAAAAACTTTCCAGTGAAAATTATTCCAGTGGGTTTGAGCCCAGCTGTTTGATTTCTGAAATCAATTAATTCTAGTGAACTCCTCAAGAAGTCACTAATTAAAAAAATAGTGGAAGTTAAGATAAAGTTAACAACTAACAACGTTCAGTGTCAAAATTTGCATAGCCTCCCCAGAGAACATGCAGTCTGGACAGTTTCAACAGCTACTAAAAGTTAGAGTCAGCCATGCAGAAAGCAGAAGCTTGTTACATGTCTAAACAAAATCAGCCTGTGCCCCACAACTACATAATGTTCAAAACAAACACATCATCAGAGATCTGCCAACAAAGAATTGTTCAGTAAATAATTTCAAAGAAGAGATGGCATTTTCAAAAATAGCAAAATGCTTCCTACTTCACAAACAGAAATCAGGGAAAAATTAAACCATCAAATTAGCTGCTACAATTTACCACTGTGTACAATATCCTCTTTAGCAAGTGGGTTTCTGCATGCAGTTGGAAATGAAAAGCAGAGGATGGAATTGTCTCAGAGTGGGATAGGCTGAAAGATTTTCTTGCATTTTCTTTTGCAAGGGCAGCCAGAATATCAAGCCTGATGTTTAATCAGATGTACTGTTGGCTCACAGAATGAGCGTTAAGAGGGTATTTCAAATTACTGAAATTGACAGAAATCCACCATAATTCTTGAAATTCCCTCTTAAAAAAACCCAACAACTCCCAAAAAATCAAAACCGATTTCTTAGGCCAGAAATGCCTGGAAGAACATGTAATAGAGATAGATGGCACACATGAGGATTAAGGTTCCATATTAAATAGACCACAGATATCTACTGTTATTCTGTGATAAACAATCACTTTTTAAACTCATTCTCATCATTATATTTTGTTTTCTGTCCAAATCCACTTACTTTGAGGATATCCTACTGTGATTTTTTTTTAAGTCTTTTGTTTGTTTCTCTTGGAAGATTTTGAGTTCAAAATGTTAAGTTTGGAGCTTGCATTCAAAAGCAGCTCCCTTGAGAGCTGCATTGTGGTAAAGAGGATTTCTCTCTGAGGACACTTGGTAGCTCCTGTATCCTTCTCTGCCTTGTCTCTTCTCCCATTCTCCCAACATCTGTGCAGCTTTGGAGAAATACAGCTGAGAAAAGCAAGCCCAGAATTCTTGCTGCTGAAGAAGAAACAATCAAAGCTGGAAGCTCTGACTTCAGAAAATTTTTTACAGTTTTGATTTGCACTGCGTATCCTATGCTGTTGGTGGCTGCTTCAACCCTCCCTATCCTCCAGTTGTAGACATTCTCCCTGTCTCTCTTCTCTCACCTTGTCAGTCCACTTAGCTATTCCTTCCTAAATAAACCAGCCAAAACAAACAAACCTTTGGGATTAAGATTCTTTCTGATGACATGAGCTAACTAGAAGGAATATGGTGACCTTGGCACATAAAAAGCCATGAGTCCTTTTCACAAAGAAAGCATGAATTACAGATCTTGCCAAAATACAATCTCAGAAAAATTCCTCCCCTCACCCAAGTGTCCTTTTGAGTTTTAATTAGCTCTTTCAGAGTTCAGAAACTCTTTCACTTGTACCTATTTTTGTCTGCTTATTCTAGTCAGTGAAGAGACAGTGAGCACAGAATTTGTCCATCATCTCTGTCAGCTTCATGGTATCCTTTCCCAAGTGAGCTGTTGTTTGGTTAGTGCCCACCTCAAATTCAGACGGAAGAAATGGTTTCTCAAAGATTAGTCATCCTTATTAGCATTCCCACTGTAGTGCTAAGGCAAAGCATTTAATATTAATGACCACTGATATTCCTGCACTGTTTGTCCTGCATCTACAGCACTTGGTCTCACCACAGGGAGAAAAAGCGAAAGTGGAGGAGCAGTACAGTCTCATAACCAAAATGGTGCACAGAAAGCAAAATGGATTTTCTAGTGTGATATTTACCAAATCTTCATGGACAGTGACCAGTAAAACTCACAGTGCACACAGCCATTGAGTGGTGTTGGTGATTTAGTAAATGGGAAGCTCAGTCGTTGCTGGATTAATACTCTAACATGGTACCAGGGGATGCTGTGTTGCTGGAGATATCATTATTTAACTGAGGTATTTTGTCATTTATATTGCGTGTTATGTACAAGAAAATGACAATGTCCCTCCTCTAAAGAGGATGCAATCAGAAGGCCAATTGCAACTTGACCCTAGAGGAGTATAGGCGAGAATACGATACATCCTATGCACTTTTGAGCAGAATTCACTTCAAGCGCTGTGGTGGGGGGAGTGAGAGGGTGTATTCCCAATGCCTGCTCCACCAGATGAGCAGAGAGACAAGAAAGGCTCCATTCTATTCTTCTCACATGACAGAATGCATAAGTGGTAGAAGATAACTCCAAGAGCAGGAGATAGAGACTCTGCATCTTGTATTGATCTATTGAATTTGTAGGTACAAAAGTTCTTTCACCTTCCCCTGAGCAGCAGGTGATGGACAAAGCTTCAAGTTAACCCCAGCTTAGAAAGGTACAATAATGAGTAATGATAGAATACCAATAAAAGATAAAGTGGAGTCCTACCTGTCATAAGAATCCATAAAACTTTTCCTAAGACACAGCATGCAAGACATGATGCTTGACTTAAATTTTGGATTAAGTAAATACATTCTGCCTACCTACAATTCACTTCTTGTTTTAATTTGATATGTTAATCACACTTGGTTTAGATTTAGTGCAACTGAGAATATTCTATTAGAACAGAATTAGTATGTGGTAAAGTTCACTTAAGAAATAATGTGATTTACATATGTCTTACTGGTTTCCAACAAGAACCTAGTGAATTACCCCCATTGTCCAAGTTTCCTCCTTTATCGTGATCCTTCCTAGCTCTTCTAACCCCTTCCCTTAAATGCT